CGATCACACCTCAAACTGGTAGCAAAGGAACGGTCGGCTTGCTCCTCACCGGCCTCGTCCTCGCTGAGCTTCAGCAGGTCTCTGTTGGCCGTCTTTGTAAAGCAGCACTTCTTCTGCCCGAAGCGCTTGAGGAGCTCGCCGGCGTCCTCCTCCGTGTTGATGGCGAACCACGCGGGAGAGGAAGAGGAGGAGGAGGGAGAGGAGGAGGGCTGCTTCCTCCGCTCCACTCCCAGGAAGATGAGCACAGTGGCAGGTTTCTGGAGGAGGTCTTTCACCGCCTCGTACCCCAGCCGACAGAGCTTGGTCTCCACCTGCTGACGGGTAGGAGGACCATAGAAGAACCACGAAGGGAAGACGTGGGACTGCAGCAGTCCGACCTCACGTTTCACTCACTCTGAACCTTTTCTAAACTCTTTTGGTGAGGTCAATAATCACTTTGTATTTATATAAATATACTTGACTTGCATTTACGTATTTAATAAGAATACAAGGAAAATCCTTTACGCAGACGATGTGTCACGTTACGCTTAGAACAATCTAATAATGCTTCCATAAAGACCCTCATTGGAGATGTGTACGGCAGGAAGCTCTGAACCCAGAAATGTCAGTAGGCGTTGGTACCTTGGCTCCGCCCCCGTCCTCCTGGGCGGGGCTGACCATGGGGCTGAGGTCGGAGAACAGCAGGTAGACGGAGTCCGGCTGGCTCCGCCTCTCCTCCAGCCACACCGCGTCGGTCCTCTTGGCGCTCAGCCGGTCCAGCGTCTCCCTGCTGAAGTAGTTCTCCCGCGGGTGGAGGTCGGAGGTCGGCGGGACGCCCTCCGCCCCGGCCAGCAGGGCGGCGATGTGGCGGTGGCCCCAGAACCTGGCCACGTCGAGGGCGCTCTGCGACGAGCCGTTCACGGAGAGCCGGTCGCACCTCCAACGCCATCAAAAGCAGACGGGGAGGTTTTAGGAGAGGACTTAAATTTATATCAACCTGGGAAAAAAACCCTGAACCAAACTGATCTAAAAGTCCAGTTCCATATGCTGCTGAACGATATTAATACTTAACTCCAACTTTAGTTACTCTGCTGATTTTTATATTATGAATTAAGAGCAAACGTTATCGATCTAAAGTCGTTTAAATGAGCTCCATCTTTTCAAGCTGCAACATGAAAGAGATGAAGACAATATTTGTGTTCATCATCCAATAATATGATGGAGATGATTCTGACTCGGGAGCCTCATGAGAGATTTGACCCGTCACACTGGTTCACTCTGCATGGTGGTGATTTCTGCCCTCTAGTGGCCGATAACCCCAAACACTGCTATTATTATTATTATTATTATTATTATTATTATTATTATTATTATCATTGCTCTACCCGTGGGACAGCAGCGCCTCCGCCGCCTCGTAGTGTCCGTTGCGAGCGGCGAGCATCAGCGCCGTCCAGCCGCTCCGTCCCGACCGGTTGATGAGCGACGGGGCGCCGCGCAGCAGCTCGGACACGCGCCTCACGTCTCCCCTGGCGGCGGCGTCCAGGAACATCTCCACCGCCTCCTCCTCCGCGCTCAGCTGGAGGCTCGTCATCCTGGAGGGGGGGGTAGAAGGTTCCTCACTGAGGAACCCACAAGGTAAGGTTACCCATAGGAAAGGTGCTTCTATGCTTCCTTTATGAGCTCCTTTAGCATAGGAAAGGTGTCTCAATGCTTCCTTTATGAGCTCCTTTAGCATAGGAAAGGTGCTTCTATGCTTCCTTTATGAGCTCCTTTAGTATAGGAAAGGTCTTCTATGCTCCCTTCATGAGCTCCTTTAGTATAGGAAAGGTGTCTCAATGCTTCCTTTATGAGCTCCTTTAGCATAGGGAAGGTGCTTCTATGCTTCCTTCATGAGCTCCTTTAGCATAGGAAAGGTGTCTCAATGCTTCCTTTATGAGCTCCTTTAGCATAGGGAAGGTGCTTCTATGCTTCCTTCATGAGCTCCTTTAGCATAGGAAAGGTGTCTCAATGCTTCCTTTATGAGCTCCTTTAGCATAGGAAAGGTGCTTCTATGCTTCCTTCATGAGCTCCTTTAGCATAGGAAAGGTGCTTCTATGCTTCCTTTATTATTTATAAATGTAGTATATTATATGTATTTATTTATTTGATTAATGTATTCTTTTGTAGATCAGTGTAGCCCTGGTTTGCTTCTCTTGTTAGAAAAGGTGAACTCTGCACCTGAGGGTTGCACATCCGTCTCGCTCCTTCTGATTGGCGCACACGGCTGTCAATCACACTATGGCTACGCCCATTTACACATTACAAAATCGCAGCTGACTTGTAACCGCTCGTAACTCCCGTGTGATCGGGTTGAATATTCGCAGAACGTTTTCTCACATGTTGTACTATCTGTTACTATTTGTACTCTTGAATATCCGGCGATGCGTCCGGAGTCACGTGTTATCGGTATTAATCGATCCGCTACTTTAGTCCACTTCGGGCTCCGTCTACTTCCTGCAAGCGGCTCCTGGGTTCACTCGTCTCTCCTTCAAACGCGACATGAGCCGTTTGAGCAACAATAATGAAACATAAAGGATTCACCTCGCGCTGCTGCTTCTCTCCGGTCCGCCGGGTCCGACGTGCTGCGTTCAATGTCTCCTCAAACCGTCGTGTTTCTGAGCGTCATCCAACGATTACGAAGTACGGTGTCAGCAACAGATTCACTGTTTGCTTTTGTATATTTAAATGTATATGTATTTTATATTTATATGTGTATATATACATATATACAACCCTATTACAATACTATCATTTTAATGTACTCATCATATTCTTTATTATTATTTATCCGCGTCGTATTCCTTGTTTTTATCTGTTATGGTCGTGAAAGAACATCGAGAGAACCTCAAATGCGTCTTGAGAGCTAATTACACTGAACATTTTCAAATAATACAAATAAAATAAAATAATGAAATAACATCTGGCTCCAGAAAGCAGACTCAATTATAGATTTAGGTGTTGAAATGATTAAATTAATATTCATGTGATATATATATTTATACTTTGCACTGATTTTGCAGCACTTCTTCCCACTGTGAATGCTGCCTTTGAACGCAGCAGTGTGTTATGTTCCCTACGCGCGCGCGCGCGCGCACACACACACACACACACACACACACACACACACACACACAGCTCATTTTAATGACTTCATAATGTAAACAGTTTCATAAAACATCATTATTCATTTTGAATGTCAAAAGAAACTATAGCTGTCTAATAAACGTTGTGAAGTAAAATGCATAAAGTAAGGAAATAGTTGATAATAATCTACTTTGACACCAGTCTCTTTAAAGAAATTAAAATATCGCAGTAATAATTCCTGAAAGTCGATGGCAACAGGAAACAGAGACGTGTGGTTCCATT